GTTTGAGTTAAAGTGTTAATATTATTCTCATGCGACCATTAGTATAACTATCCTTTGACTTGAAGTCATTACATTCTTTGGTAAGTTGAGTTGTATACTTTGAGGCATGATTTATGCCGTCTGAAATATTGGTGGATGTACAGTTATGTTTTGGGTATGCAATGAAACTTAAGCGAAGATGTGAATGACGTAGATAAAATTTATCCCTTCTTTGATGAAATATAATATCTTAGGGCCCACTGATTGATGTGACTTGGGAAGTGCATGGCCATGCCCAAATAAATTTGTTATTTGAATCCCACAAGTCAATCGAAGAATCAGTAAACCATCGATTTAACTTTAACAAGGTGACACACCCCATACAAATTTAAGGGTTATACAAATAGGATGTGTCGTTGAAGGAATTGTTCCAAGAGCTTTAATCTATAGTTTGAGGGTGATAATGTGTTGCTAGATATCGCTTATCACTTGTAGTATTTAATCGATACTATGGCCAATTTTATAGATGCCTAGAATAGGGTCACACACATAGAACATATGAAAGTGTAGAATATTTAAGTGGAGTAAAGTTGCACTTTATTTATATGTTGTGTATATTATATTGTGTGACAATATGATTAGATACACAAACACGTATATAAATAAATATTTATATTTGGACATTTTAATTATGTTATATGAATAATAAATTGTGATATAAACATAAATAAATATTTATATTTGGACATTTTATATATTCGGATATATATATATATATATATATATATATATATATATATATATATATATATATATATTGTTGAATATAAGTGAGCCCTCGAGTTTTTCTAGATACCCCTAACAAGACACATTATTTTCATAATCATCATCAAATTATTTTTAATCATGACTTAATCATTCACAACTATTACTTTAATCAGAATATACATTTAAGTCCAATCCTAAACAACATCAATAATCATCATCATAATATTCGATAACAAATAGCGGCCTAGCGTCGAGTGTTAACACCCTAGCTTACCGTCATATATGACATTAGGTTCTTGGATTATCAAAACATCTCTTTTATTTCTAGAAATCTTTTTTATATTGATCATAATTGATTGGTATCAAACATAGGATTTAATAGTTCAAGAATCGGGTTTTACTAGAAAATTTCAGATTCTGGATGGTACCTAAGACGGTACCGAGCGGTACCATGTCACGGTACCTTAGTACTGTCTGTAGTTAGCCATCGTTTGAGGAAAACAGCAAGACGATAGAGAGGCTACCGTGATGGCGATATCGTGCAGACAGTATCTAGGTGCTGTCCAGGCGGTAGCATGATACCATATTGCATGTTGTTTTGAACCGTGCCATCTTTAATCTTGGGCCAATTTTTGAAAACACCATTTCATCGGTCAAGCATGCTAATGCATGCAAGCAAGAAATTTTGTCTAAGTCAAATACGCAACAGGTGCAAGTCATTTGGTGCAAGTTCACAACATGATCTCCTTTCACATGAAATTCATATTTTCCCAAGCGCATGCGTGAAAGCTTCAATGCAGTATGGTACCACCTACGAAGTTGGGCTTCTGCATTGGGAGTGAGTGGACTGCTAGAGCCTTCGAGGGCATTCAACTCTGTATGCCGCTTCCCCCACCACTCGATAGTCTTTGATTGCATCTCGTTCAATAGAGCTAGGATGGGTAGTGTTCTGGTGTGTCGGAGGACGGTGTTAATGCTCTCCATCCCATTTTTTGTCATTATATTATAACAGTTTGTCTCAAAGAAAGCCCTTGCCCACCCTTCTTTCGGTATAGTACTTATGTACATGGCCCCATTAGCAAACTTCTCCTTGAATTCCTTTAAAAGCATATCAAAAGATCTCTTCGTGTAGTCATTTGAAAGCCAATCAAATAGTTTTAAACCGTCTTTGTTCTTCTTTCCTAATTGACCTTTTAAATTACAATGAATATGATTTCGATAGTGCATGTAGTCTGCCAGTGAAAAATGTTTTTTCTCAAGCCATTCTCGATGCTTGGATGCCTATCTGAAATGAAGACCAAATCTTGATGATCTTTGATTAATTGATGAAGATGATCAAAGAAATGTCAGTATGACTCATTATTTTCAGAGTTTACGATGGCTCATGCAAGAGGATACTGATGGAAGTCACCATCTTGTGCTGTGGCAATTAGTAAAACACCCTTTTCAAGTGTTTTGCAGAACGTGTCATCAATAGAAATTACTTGTCTTAGAGACTTGCAACCTGAAATACATGCGTGAAATGCTACAAATACATACTTAGAACAACCATCCTCCTCGACCTCTAGGTTAGTATATACACTGTCATGGTTTGCCTCCTTCAACACGTGCAGATATAAAGGAAGTTTTGCATACTTCTCGCTTAGTTTCCCGTACAACTGTTTGTTTGCGAATTTCCTACCTAGCCAAGCTTTTCTATGTGTTATGGGCATGCTCTTATTTTGCATAAGGGTCATGATTGTCTTTGGCCTAATGTGTTCTCGCAAACCTCCTAGAGTAGCAAACACAACATCCCCAACGTACCTCGACGTAGTTGCGCTTACGTTCACCAACCGCACAATTGTGCTTGTCGCTGTACTTTTTGATGATAAATCTAAGGGAGTCCTTTACGGAAAATGCATACATCATCCCACTACAGTCAGCACCCCTACAACATAGAATATATCGAGTTGTATCACTCTTTACTATCTTCACTTGAAAGCAACCAACAATGGCTACCTCGGCCATTTTCTGCTTTAAATCAGCCTTGCAGGCAAACTCATAGCCAGCACACAAGTCTAAGTCATCGCCAATTGTTCCATCCGTGCCACTATCGCCATCTACAGGACCGATAGGAAAATCAAACACAAACATGCTCTGGTGTAGTTTTTTGAATTTCAACCTCCACATCAACTTTCTCTTGAGTACTCTTGGGAAGCTCTCCCTCAACCTCAAGATTATCTTGGGGGAGTACGGTTGGATCCTACGCAAAGGAATGTCTCCACATTCGCATTTGGTTCATCATTCAGTACAACTCCATCTTGTCCATGGTGTGATCCTTTATCAAAACTAAGTTGCAATAAAAACATTCATCATGGAAGAACAAGTCAAAATCATGTTGTTTGCCATTTTAATTTTCCTTTACGCTTTCTTCCATTGCATGTTGTTGCTTGCCAGATTCATTTTCCAACTCGCTTTCCTCAATTTCATGTTCTTGCTTGTCATTTTGATTTTCCAATTCTCTTTCCCGAATTCCAGTGACCTCAACACATAAGCATGTAGAATGTACATCTTTATCTCTCAAGAAACAAGTGGCAAGTCATCTTTATCTCAAACAGGTGGCAATTCCTTACCGAACCAAAAAGATTGGTACGAAATCTGAATTGAAGTTGATGATTACTTTGTTGCAATCCAAAGTCCCGATAAATACACATGAGAAGGGCATTGAAATCTTCATTACATCTCTCTCACTCGATCACTTGTGTTTTACTTTGCTTGTTTCTTTTAAACTGGATTCCGCTTTTGTCATTTTCAACTCATTCACCACCACATTGAATGAAGAGAGACAGAAGAGAGGCCATCTGCTTGCAAAAATAGAATTAAATGTGTAAATGTCTTATTACTATGTCGATCTAAATACGTCGACACAATCATAATTTAGAATGCCGATATAAGTACAACGAAGCGTGTCAAAATAGAATCCACAAAAAAATATGTCTTCGAAAACATACAAATATATATAGACTCAATCAGATATGTCGACAAAATCAAATATTGTTGACTACACTCTATCACAAATCAGATTTCGACTTCAATAATGCTGACCCTTTTGAGTGTCGACACATATCGATCTGTTTCTACTATGTTTATTTATATCAAAACCTATCAAAATAATATCCACCAAAAGAAATATGTGGTGGAAAACATGCAAAGTATATGTCGACTCATTGATGACGTCATGTATTATCTAGAGCGATCTAATACGTCGACATAATCAGCTACTATTGACTATACCCTATCGCAAATAAAATTTCGACATTAATAAAGTCGACCATTCAGATATCAACGTTAGATTGCCAACAACCCGACACAATCGACTTTAATTAAGTTGACTAGTCAGAGAGTGTTGAATCAACTTTAATTATGTCGACCCTTTATGCAATACAATCCTTACTGTAGCAATTAGTTGAATGTGTACTTACCTTGAAAGATCCTTTCACCGATTAGCAACAACAAAAGAAAGACAGCGAACTGCTGGGAACAAACGGAAGACGGCGAACTATGAGAGGCGCGATGAGAGCCACAGTCGCGTAGAGTGGTTTGATGGCGAACAGCTGGAAACAAACGGCGAGCAGCAGCGACCGATGAGAAGCGACAGAGTATGCAATCGATTGGGATAGGAAACCGATGAAAAATGGCACGCAGCCGAAACGAGAATAACAAATTTTTTTGCGAGGGTAGAAACGCTCAGCTACCGCAACGGTCTGATAACGATAACCTAGCGATAACATCTTCGGAAGAAGGATAAGAGAGTAATTTGATTTTGATAGAAAGGGTAGACTAATAAATACGACCCGTTTTAGGTAGAATGATAAATTCCTTAAATTTGTAAGGCATTTTGAAAAGGCACCCTATAATTTCTCTCCTTTACATAACTTCTAAGTAGACAATTTTACTTTCCTTAATTTTCATACTAAATAAAAGGTAAACCTTTTTATGGGATGGAGGGAATACTATATTTCCACCTTCCTAATTTAAATTGTTTATATTCACATGGTCAAATATTTAGCCATTTTCATTGCCTCTTTTGTTACTCATTTGATAGAATAATAGTGGTGTCACTTATTGATTCATAAAAATTTTTAGGTACCCCAAAGTATTTTGTAAATATATACCCAAGTAATATTTTTCAATTTCGTGCCAATTTTTAAATAAATTGATTGAAAATAATTTCAATTAAACATTATAAACAATAACGGGGCATCTTAAATTAGTCCGGAAAAAGTAATATATTGATATATAACAGACTGTTGATTGAAAAACAAGCTTTATCACGTAGTTCGCAGAGTACACTTGCACTAACAACAGCTAATCTAACTAATACGGAGTATAAATTAACCGAGATATAAGAAAAACCTTTGCACATTGGGACTGGATGAGAAATTTCCGGTAAATCTGTCCTCAAATGTTGTTGCCCATAGTAATAAGCGGTCAAATTGGGGCAGCACATGTTGTTCTGAAGTGTCCAGTCTGATTGCAGCGACTACAATGTACAATTCGCTTCATCCGCCCACGGTCTTCTGCTCTAACTCTTTTCTTTCTAGGACGGCCAGGAGGGCGAAGTGACTTGGGAGGATTAATAACAACTTCATTAGCTTTAACAGCATCATGGTCCACCTCGGTTAACTCCTTCCACAATGATTTATCTGGAATGGGATGTATGGTTTCAGAATACGTCTTTCGATACGTAGCAACTGTGAAGCAGCTCTCTGTGAACCGATGGACATTCTGCCTACAAGAAAGTAGAGCTGCAACAGCATGTGCGCAAGGTAAGCCATAAAGCTGCCAGCCCCGACAAAGGCAGCAGCGATTCCGAATGTCAACGATACTGATTCCTTCATGTGAAGTTACTTCAAACTCTGCTTCATTAGCTTTCTGAACCGTGAATGTGCGAGCACGTTCCAGTGCCTCAGCAACACACCTCTCTGCAGTAGGCACCAGAATTGATGTCCATTGCATACTAGTTTCACGACGCTCATTAAACCAAGTCATTAGTTGTCTTCTTATGCATTCCATCATCTGAATTATTGGAAGTCCAGAGGCCTCAAGAATCCAGGTGTTGAGCTGCTCAACTATGTTAGCAGTTAAATGCCCAAACCTTGTTCCCTCAAAGTAAGCTGTAGCCCAAAGACGTGGTGGAATACGCCTGATCCAATATGCAGCATCTTGAGATATTTCCTCAATCTCAAGAATTTTTGCCTCAAATTCAATAACTGTAAGTGCATAAGCTGCTTCCCATAGTAAGTTCACAAGCATTGTATTGTTAAACTCTTTACGAAAACTTTCACTCAAGTGACGCATGCAAAAACCATGGAATGCGGTAGGGAAGTTAGCTTCAACGCCATCTACAATGCTTTTCTGCCTATCTGATAGAATTGTGAGCCTTGGCATGTTTTCTGTGTTGATCTCAAGAAGGGCATGAAGTTCCAAAAGAAACCACATCCAATTATCATCATTTTCCTCATCAACAACACCAAAAGCTAAAGGGAACAGACCTCCATCCCCGTCAAAACCAGTAGCCAAAAGTAGAGTGCCAAGGTATTTACTCTTTAAGAATGTCCGATCTAGACCGAGGACAGGACGGCAAGCATTCAGAAAACCATAGATGGATGCCTGAAAGGATATAAACAGTCGCTGGAAGCAATTATCAGCTGGATCGACGTAAACTGAGGCAATACTTCCAGGATTTGTACGTTTCACCTGTTGACAGTACTGTGGAAGAAGACGATATCCTTCTTCGAAGGAACCACGCATTGCAGCCATTATCCGCTCTTTTCCGCGCCAAGCTTGCTTGTACGATAAAGTGATACCGTGAACACGGTGTATTTCTTCAAGGATTTCCTTTGGCTTGTAGTTGGGGTTCTCCCGAAGGCGTTGTTCGACAGAGCTGGCAACCCACTGAACTGAGGCTTGCTGGTGGCCAAGATGGAAAATTCCTCCACACGTATGGTTCTCATTGATTGTTCTGATTGTGAAGGTGGGGACACCAGGAAGTTTTGCAGCATGAATTCGCCAAGGGCATCCTTCAGTAGCACATTTAGCAGTGAAGCGAGTTTTGTCGGATTTTATTGTCTGCATTTCAAAGTGGAGAGCAATAGCTGTATCACGCAAGGCCCTTCGGCAGCTCTTAACATCAGGGAATTCTTGCCCCACATAAAGCTCAAAATCGGGAGTGGCAGGAAATGTGCGTGCCTGAAGGACATGATTGGAAGTAAGTATCAACTGGTTATTTTGAATCATGTCGTCTGTAGAATCAATTCCCATTTCATGGGCCTCAACAACTGCTAGGTCCATATTCGCATCAAGTTCTTGATGATATGCAAGATCATGCTCATGTTGACCAGATATACCTGCGTCATTGTTCTCGCCAGCAAGAGAATGTTCATTTCCTTCACACCCTGGCTTCTGCTCCATTGCAAGCCCATCCGTCTCAACTTCATCATAAGCATGTTCATTGCTCCCCTCATGGCTCTGTTCTAAACCTATCTCACTCTCAGGGTCTTGCTCCAATCCAAGCTTGTGCTCTTGAATCTGCCCCAACTCCAAACTATGGTTCTGCCTCATACGTAGACTATGACCATGTCCTCCCAGCGACATTTGTTGGTTCTTCCCAGAACCTAATCTGTGGTTTTGGCCAAGAATCAGCTCCTTGTTTGCCATTCTCCGACTACACCATTCAATTATAATATCATACATTTACATGTGCTCTTCTAATATGCATGTTAATATCAAAGAACATCATAAAGAAACCCCTTTGTAAAAATTTACTTACTTTATAACACAAGCAACAAACTATACGCGAGTATAATAAAGCCTCTCTAAATTTATGGAATATAGACTTATGAATAACTACGAAATGATAACTGCAAAGCAATGCAAAAGAAACAAAACATAATCTCCATCTTACTTTTTCTGATTGTATGTCACTCAAAGCGCTCTATGTCAGTGTAGACAGTTTCTTGTAACAGCAACCAAACCATCAATCACAACGTTCAGCTAGAAAGAAAACCGAAATAGGGCAATACGCCTGGGTACAATCCAATCTTTGCAGAGTACAAAAATTTGATTAACGATATAAAAAATGAGACCCGTCATGGAGGAATGCATGCGTATGAACAAAAAGTTACCACAAAAATAGGGAAAACCCTAGCTATTCACACCGATGTGAGTCCGTAAATCATCTGAATCCAGCTGGAACATTGAAATCTTACCGTATAACTTGGGTAGAATGCAAAACGACGAACACGTATCCACCTCCAATTACAATAAAAGAACAAAAGGAGTGAAATCTAAACTCTTCCCGAATACAAATACATGGATGGCGTTTGGAAGAAGATGAAGAAGAAGCATTTGAAAAGGGCGGGTAAATAGGTTTTGAGGAGAGTTTGAGGGCGTGGAGAAAAGGGGAAAATCGGAAAATAGAAGGGCAATTGAAGATAGATTAGAAGGAGAAATTGATGGAAGGGGCAAAGGGCAGAGGAAGGTTTGCTGAGGGTTGAGTTGGAATTCCAGACGCCTCTCTAAACTCTCTAAAGTTGAGGAGAGTGGTATTTGCGTCAAAAAAAAAAACTCAAAATTAAAGAAGTCCGTTTCGTTACTAGAATGCATCATGCCTGCGGATTAATGGGTCGGGTTTATATTTGAAATTTGACCAGGACACAATAGTTAGTTATATTGCGTGTTAATCTCTATTTATTTCAATCACAATTAAATTTGGTTAATAAAAATATAAATTTATTTTAATATAAATAAATAATGCTTTTAATATTTTTAATGAGATTGTAGAAATAAATCATGTATTTTCATTTTAAAGTTCTTAATTTAAAAGTTGAGATTTACAATTATAGAAAAATATCATATTACGTATGAGAATTAATACTTGTGTACTCAAATACAATTTATGTATATTATTTAAGTTTGTAAAACTAAATGTGTAAGAATAATGATGGGAATAAATTATCCGACCCGAATAACATGATAGAATTTAGCTCAACGACTATGGTGGCATGAAGAACTTAAATGCAGTAAAAGACAAGACTCTATGAAATACAACTCTAATGTTTTGTATTATCTTAATTTAGCTTGGGTTACAATTGAGGATTTAGCTCCTACATATAATCTAACGCTACTGCGTACATGGTATGTACTTCGTGCGCTACATTATCACGTTGATTGGCCTATCCTGTCTCAATTAAGGGGAGGAATCACTCATCAATCACCCTCCAATCACACGATAAGTGGGATTGTGCCTACCTTATATCTTCTAATCCGCCCCGACATGCTGGGCTTAACCCATTACTTTACTTGGTCCTTATGCCTAGATCATTCTTTGTAATAAAAATCAGGTCCCTCGTCAAAGTTGGGCTCATGACAACATGCTTGGGCTTTTTTGGCCCGCTTTATAAACCCGATATCCATCACAAGGGCCCGTGGGTAGCGTAAACATTGCTTTCAACCTTGAACCACACCGTTTCCTGATGATGCACTATGACTCGGTCCTTAGCGATTTCATATTTCCGCTCCATCCATTCAACTGGGAGATCTGCGATACGTGGTAAGTTCCTCATGAGCAATTCACAGCCAATGTGTTGTATTTAGGTGCCCTAGCGGCAATCAAATACCTATGTAACTGTACACTTTATCATGAATGAAAGGCTCTGAAGTATGTTTTATATCTCGTGTAACATAACATAGCTTCAGTCCATAGACGATAGCGCTTCAGTAACATAGATGAGGACTACGATGTTCTGATTATGAGACTGTTACTTCTTGACGAAGGCTATGTCTAGAATATCCCTAGTCGCACTTTATGATAATACGGACGTCATAACGTATCAAGACTAGTACGTATGAGATGAGATAGTTGCGTCTCATAGACTATAGGTATTGTGATATCTTAATCTGTACGTAGGTGCATATTATATCGATAATATGTGACTGGATTGACCCATCTTGAGAATACTGCATGGATCTACAGTAATGTGTTTATCAGTGTTCTCAATTCGACCTTGCTATAACTATCCTCAGACTTGAAGTTATTACATTCTCTGATATGTGGGGTCGTATGCTTTGATTCGTAACTAATGCTATGTAAAATACTGGTAGACGTACAGTTATGCGTTGGGTATGCCGCTAAGCATATTTGGAGATGTGAATAACAGACACAGGATCTGTCCCTTCTACTGTATAGAAGTATAATGTCAATGGGCCCACTAAATAGTAGGACTTGGGAAAGTGCATGGCCATGCCCAGATATGTCTCTATCCAGAGACTGATAAATATCTGATCCCTACCAGTGTACTTGAGATTCAGTAACAACTGATTTAACTATACAAGGATACACATCCCATGCCTTATGTTAAATCATGACATTTAGGACAGAAGGATAATAGTTATAGAACGTCTTGTGTCGTAGAAGGTATTGATGAGATGAACGTCTTTTTCATAATCTGGGGGTAATAATGTGTTGCTCGTTTCCCTACAGTGGTATCAGAGCCGGCTTACGAAGTTACTAGTTTAGTAGTTTTACCGTTATCGTTTTTGTAGATTAGTCAATAAATTTTGGAGACAAAAATTTATCCCATTATAAAATTTAATTAGGTGGCCATATTTAGATACTGGACCTAATATAATTTTATTTAGTAATTTTCGGAATTACTGTTTGGGGTATTTTTATATTATTCTTATTAAGTAGTTTATGTGTAGAATACTTGTTATTTGTGCCATAAACACTTAATATTTATGAAAATTAGATTTTATATTTTCTGGGATGTATTTGACATGTCAATATAACTCAGAAATTTTAAAATCGATGTTTGGAATTAGTTTCCTAAATTTCTATTTTTAAATTCGTTTATAGAATAGAAAATAAGAAAAATTAGTTTTGACGATCAAAAATTAATTTTAATTCATAATAAGTTGCGACCAGAGATTTTAAGCTTGTGCAAAAATTTTCATAATTTTTAAGAACGTAAAAATAATTATTTTGTATTTTTGAAGTAATGGGATTGGTACTATTCACTAGTCCGATTTTTAATTATTTTAAATTGCAAAATGAATATTTTAAATTCTGGAAAAATCATATTCTGGTTCTGGAACTTATTTTGGACTTGAAAAATAAATTTTGATATTTTTGGAATTTCGAAATATATTTTCACAATATCATTTCGGTTTTCTAGCTATGAAAAATGGTTTTCAAAATTTTAAATTTTATTTATTCTGGAATTTTAGGATTTCCAGATTAATAAAGTTTACTGGGAGTCTCCAATAATTATCTTCTAATTTAGAAAACATATATGTATTTAATTCGAAATAAAATCCCTTTTTCGAATTTAAATATATATACACGGTAAATATAAAATATTTTATTTTCTGGAATTTAGAAAATTAAATTTCTTAAATTCTGGAAATTTAAAGTATTTTATTATATTTAATTAAATTACTTGCTAGTTTAATTAATTTATTGTTGATAGTTTATTTCGTAGAATAGAATAAACTAGGTCTGGGGCGAGCGCGGTTCGCCCGGTGTATGCTTTAATATGTATGATGTGAGGCTTGTATGTATTATTGCATGGTGGATGATTGTGGCTTAGTTATATTTGTTGTAATTTTAAATACGGCCTGCGTGTCGTGCCTCATCTCTATATTCTGGATGTAATTCTCTTCTTTACCTTAATATTCTTTTCTCTCGAAAATTATAGAAAGACAAGAAGACGAAGTCCATTCGTGATGGAGAATCCTAAGGAAGACGTGATGGGCCGGAGATAGAGATCTCTTGATCAAGGCGCTGTCATTTCTTTTTCTTTAGGAGCCAGAATCATTTCACGTTTACTTATTATGCATGTGATGTATGATTGAATGTATGCATGTATGTGATTTTCGCTAGTGCATGCGCGCGGTGTATGCCATAGGCAAGATTGCGTAATAAATCCCTCATGATTTTAAGTCTGTGCCACCCCGACGCCCCGTCACTGGTCAAACCCAATTTAGATCGGTAACGGACTCACCCAAGTGAGACGCCTGGTTTATGTTGGTTAGGCGCGAAACCCGTAACTAGGGTACTGACTCGCCCCGGGTTAGTCTTAACTAAGTCTTGGTCATATGGAAGAGAGACTTAGGGCACTACGGTAGGATCAATAAATAAAATCAGATCATCCAACTAGAGTTGTAACTTGTTACAATTGGAATTTATTCCTACCAGAAATAATTTAACTGTAGGGCAAGATGCAAAGCACGCACAACTATAGTTAAATGAAATATGGATCTGGCCCAATTAAGAATTTTATTTAAAAGAATCCACTGAACCAAGAATTGTAATAACGATTACAATTGGAATGAATTCCTACCTAAATAACTTGACTGTAGGGCAAGATGCAAAGCACAACTATAGTTAAGTAAAATATGGATCTTGGCCTGCTAGGGTATTCTTCTCATGAAGAAACCCCAAGTCAATAGGTTCCGTACCTGAGGGTAATTGACTTGTTAGAAATAGTGGGAGAGTATTTAATAAAGACCTATTAGATACTTAATTCATGATAATAACTATCTTCGCAAAATTCTGTAGATGGCAAACAACAACACAAACAACCTTGCCCTGCGTTCCATTCTCGATAAAGACAAATTGAACGGAACAAACAATCTCTCCATTGTTCTCCGCATGGATGAGAAAGAGTATGTGCTCGAAAAGCCCATTCCTCCGGCCCCTCCCACTAACGCCTCAAAAGCGGTTAAAGATGCCTACAAGAAACACGTCAAGGATGACAACCAGGTTAGCTGTGTCATGCTGGCTACCATGATAACCGATCTGCAAAAAAAGCACGATGACATGAAGGCCCACGAGATGATCGTGGCCTTGCGGCAGCTATACCAGGGACAATCCAGGCATGAACGTTTTCTCGTGAGTAAGGCTCTCTTTAGTTGCAAGCTCTCTTCAGGGAACCCGGTCGGTCCGCACGTTCTCAAAATGATTGGTTACATAACCAATCTAGAGAAACTCGGGTTCTCCTTGCAGAAGGAGCTGGCAACGGACCTGATCTTGCAGCCTCTCTCTAAGCTGTATAAGGGTTTTGTCATGAACTACATGATGCATGATCTTGACAAATTCCTTCCGGAGCTTCTTAAAATGCTCCAGACTGCAGAGGAGAACCTTACTAAGGGCAAGGGTGCTTCCGTCCTTATGGTCCAAGGCGGAAAGGGGAAGCCGAAGAAGGGGATTAAGATTAAGGCTAGGACGGTCGGAAAGCCTAAATCGAAGTCCACTTCATCTGCAACCCAGAAACCTGTAGGAGGAGTTGCAAAGGGCAAATGTCATCACTGTGGTAAGGCAGGCCACTAGAGGAGAAACTGCAAGACATACCTCGCAACCAAGAAGAAGGAAGGTACGGCCATTTCTTCTGAGGTGTATGTTATAGAAGTTAACATGTCTATATCTTCATCATGGGTACTAGATACTGGATGTGGGTCTCATATATGTACTACCATGCAGGGACTGAAGCAGAGTAGACGGTTAGCTCGAGGCGAGATTGAACTCCGAGTCGGCAATGGTGCACCTGTTGCAGCTTTGGCAATTGGAACTTATAGTTTAGTCTTGCATAGTGGTCTAATGTTGGAATTAAATGACTGTTTGTATGTTCCTGCAATTAGCAGAAACATTATTTCTGTTTCATGTCTTGATAAGAGTGGTTTCATCATTTCTATTAAAGACAAGTCCCTTTCCATTTACAGAAAGAATGTTTTCTATGCTAATGCCAACATGACCAATGGGTTATATGTCCTTGACTTGGACATGCCTGTGTATAACATATCAGCCAAGAGGAAAAAACCAAACGGTTTGAACCAAACATACATATGGCATTGTAGGTTAGGCCATATAAACAAGAAACGCATATCTAAGCTGCATCGCTCGGGAATGCTGGAGTCATTTGATCTTGAATCATATGACACATGTGAATCTTGTTTATTGGGTAAGATGACCAAATCTCCTTTCACCGGACACGGTGAAAGAGCTGGTGATCTTCTGGCACTCATTCATAGTGATGTGTGCGGGCCTTTCAATACAACTGCACGAGGTGGTTATTCATATTTCATCACATTTACTGATGACCTCAGTAGATATGGGTATGTGTATCTCATGAAACACAAGTCAGAATCCTTTGAAATGTTTAAAGAATTCAGGAATGAAGTTGAAAAACAACTTGGCAAAAGTATTAAAACACTACGATCCGATCGAGGTGGAGAATACTTAAGTGGTGAGTTCAATGACTATCTTAGAGAGCATGGGATTTTATCCCAACTCACACCTCTTGGGACTCCGATCCACAATGGAATGGCGTCTCTAAAAAGAGGAATCGAACCCTGCTTGACATGGTTCGTTCTATGATGGGTCATTCGACTCTACCAGAATCATTCTGGGGGTATGCACTGAGCACTGCAATATATACTCTTAACCGAGTTCCAACCAAGGCAGTTGAAGGAACACCATACCAGCTATGGACGGGCAAATGCCCTGTTATGTCACACTTAAAGATTTGGGGCTGTGAGTGTAACACCCCAACCCGCGTGACCCGAATACAAGGACCTGCGGATCGGGTTGCAACTAAATTGGCATTCAAACGCAATAATTTTCAAAACAATTTAAAAATATTTAATCCAAAACAATATTTAAATATCCATCAGAGTTAACAAAACGGTGCGGAAGCCTTTAAGTACTTAATCAAAATACAACTTTGGGTTCTTGCCTTTAAGAATATAATAATTCAAACTTAAATATTAAATTAGAAAACTCCTCCAGCTAGCATCCATCCATCTCTTCGCCCTCGCTGCCTCCAAGACCGTCTCATTATTCATCGTTCCTGTTACCTACGTGTAGCAAATAGGAAAAAGGGCTACACACTCAGCATTGAAGCTGAGTGGAATCTATCTAACGTTTCGACTACGCACATAGACGAACCCACTAGCTCATAACTTCATACAATATCATGCACACAAGTTCAACAGTAATTATATCACATAACAATTATCAGATAAAACAACTATATTATAACAACATACTTTAGATCACTTACCTTTATTCTTCATCTGCACAAGTCAACATTCAGGTCATTACATTAACTCATATCCAACACTAGCTCATAACCTATTCTAGGCTAAGGCCAAATTCTCATTATCCACATTCTTATCTTAAGACTTAAAGCCACTACCTATGGCCATGACTCAAAGTCTATTCTATGACATCAGAACCACTACCTACGGCACCGGTTGGGTGGAACCTCCAATCCTACGGATCAGATCCCAGATTCCATGTACGTACATCTTTACCCGAATGCCACTGGACACTAAGTCCACAAGGCTCTACACCTATTGTCAACTTACATTCTCAATTCTCACAAAGTAGTCCTTGAGTTCATCTAGGTAAGCTATCTCATTAACTTACTTTAATTAATCAGATCCAAGCTAACAATAACCTCAATCAACTTTATCCGTTTAAGGCATATCACACCACATTTACAACAAATCAAGAGAACAGAATTAACCAAATAAATCATCATGCAATCCAAATAGCGGCCTAATGTCGGGTGTAAACGCCTTCCATTTACCGTCATGCAACACATAAGGGCTCAGAGTCAATTCAGGTTCCAAATCGGGTCAAACAATCAAATAACGGAAACTGCAGCTGTCGGTACGGTACCTGTCACGGTACCTTGGTACCGTCGGTACGGCACCGTCCTACCGCCGGGCTTCAGATACCGATAGCAGCGTTTTGGCCTGAGGTGGTAGCTTGGTACTGTCAGGCGGTACCAGGCTACCGTCTGGCGTCGGGAATTTCCTAAAACAACTCAGTTCGATACAATTCCAAATCATTCATTACGTATTATGTTTTTAAAGATTATTATCATGCAAATCACACAAATTGAAAGTAAGAAACATACCTGGTCATCCTCGTTCCACCAATTCCAACAATAACATATAATATAATTAAATCATAATTTAATTATAATCAAATAAACCACATAATCAATCATACGAAACTACAAACGTGAATTTCAAATCTATATACATAATCTAGCGTTAGATGTGCAAGTTCTGACCTTGATTAACTAGACGAATTGAGGGAACCGAATTAATGAGTCAAATCACCCACGAAAAGAACAGCAGCGATGGGGCTGTTTCCCAGCGAGTTGCACAGTGGTGGTGGCGGCTCATGGCAGCGTCTGGACCTCGTCGAACAGCCATGTAGTTCGTCTCTGGCACCTCTCCCTTCCGCGAAGAAGAACTGATGATGGTGATGAAGAATCGTGGCAGGGAAGAATATTGCAGAAGATGGACGGCAAGGGGCGTAGACGAATGTATTTATATAGGTATTAGACCCAATTAGAGTTGGATTAGGATTTTGCCTAGTACGGCCCATTAAACATTATAATATTAAATTATTACTTTCTTTTCATTTAACTATTGAACTTAAATGTCTGTTTTACTTACCACGCTTTACACGTATGTCCAAATTAAACAAACTATATACCATTGGTCACCATTCTTCAAGATCTATCCGAAAACCCAATTTTCATCTAAAACGGATAACGTTACAAATAATCCATATTTTAGAGTAAATAAATTTAATATTTATTTTTAATAAAATAACGGCTAACTACTAATCCGGTTTTCGGGTCGTTAGAGTGAGGCTTACGTCAAACGTTCTATGACGAATGGCAAGCTGGACGCCAAGTCTGATAAGTGTTTCTTCGTGGGATACCCTAAGGAAACTCGTGGGTATTCATTCTATCACCCTATCGATAAGAAGGTATTCGTTGCTCGCAATGGTGTCTTCCTCGAGAAGGAATTTCTCTCTAACGCAACTAGTGGGAGAAAGATAGAGCTCGAAGAAATTCGAGACGACGAAGAAAAATTACCGCGCCAGTTCAGGAACATGAGCTAGAGGAACAAACCGTTGTACCTCAAAATGCTCAAGATACACAAGAACCCCGTAGGTCTAACCGGTTACGCACACAACCTGAAAGGTAAAGATTCATCCTAACCTTTGAGGGTGACGTAATGCTTATCGACCAGGATGAGCTGGAGACCTACTTTTGAGTCACAAAATGTCATATTTTATTCCTTCATTTCTTAGTAGATGTTTTATATGCATTTTATACTTAAATAAACACATTTTGGTATATTTAGTATTTTAGGCTATTGTTTACATTTTATATACAAAATGCATGATTTTAAGTATATTTATATTTTATTGTTTTTGGAGCATCATTTTCCTTGACACAGTGTTTAAGATATAATTTTGAGCTCAACGTAGAGGAAATAACAATGCTGGAGTCTTAGACCTTTGACACCACAATTGAAGAAATGAAGAGAGTTTGAGCCCAAGATTGGTTTTGATCCCATTTGCATTTGTCAAAGTCTCAATCCATTAGAAGTAAAAGTCTAATAAATGATAAAAGGAAATAAAAAAAAAGAAGAGAGACTTTGTAGATGGGAACCGTAGAAGACCGCATAGTGCAAGAAACGGAGGAGGCTTCATTCCTCAAATCAAACTTCAATTCCCATTCCCAATCCAAATTGAAGACTAAAGCTTGGAGGACTCATGTATAAAAGAGGCAAAATATCGACCATGAAGAGGGGGGACGGATAGAGACGAGAGAACAGATCGGAGCAGAGCACGGTGCCGACCTAGGGTTCCGACCCTAGGTCCGGCGACGGCAATTGCACAGCGGTGACGACGACGGGAGGTCTGGACGGAGACGGCAAGGCGAGATCGATGCTTCGGTGATTGGGAACTCCCCCGACTCCTAGCTTCTGTGCACTGTTTGGACGAACACAGAAACTCAGGGGAGCAATTTTCTCCTTTTTAATTTCATTCTTTAATTAAGACTTTCCAATTTATAAGTTTCTCAATTTATGAATTTGATTGTCAGTATTAAATATGTTTGTTTTCAATTCCATGTTTGTTGATTAATTAAGTTATATTATAAGTGTTGAATTGTTTGTCTGTTAGTGTTGAATTGTTCAAATATAATTTATTTATTTATTAGTGTCTTTGAAATTATAAAATCTTCTTAGGCCAAATTGTTTGATGAAAAAGATTGAATCTTTGTCTGTTGAATTAATTTGACTTTGAAAAGGTTTTAGCCTTTGCGCTACTATCAAATCTAAACTCGAAAATGGTGTTTGAAAACTGGTCTTTGTTTAAACTTGGATTAGATCAATTTAGGACGGCCGCCTAAACTCTAATTCCAATTGACAGTTTTAAGATTTTGAGTACGTTTATAGCTGAGATCTTTAAAACACAAGTGTCAACTGGTTAATACTTAATTGGTTCCCACCCGGTTTTTGTTAATCAGAGTTTTCAAGCTGGCTATGTTAAATAGATATAGTCTACTACATAGTTGTTAAGTGATGTTTTCCAAAGAACTTAATGCTCTATTTTTAATTAAATCTAGGGGCAGGTCCTTGGGTTGTTAAGGATAGTAGGGTCTAGAGTTAGGGCAGGTCTTAACATAGACTATATTAGGGAAAATAGGGAAGAACCGCAGGTGGATCTCTTCTTGAGCTTAACCCTGAGTTTAATTAACAGTTTAGTTTTAGGATTAAGACATAATTAATTGATCAATCAGATTTGTTCAATTTATTTTCTACTAAAAACTATAAGTATTTTTCAAAATGGTTTAAGTTAATTATTATTGTCTACGTTTTTATTAAGTTTGTTGTGTGATTGTTTTTGTGTTTTGTTGTGGTTCTGGCTCTTATCTATTATCTGTTATCCTTTATCTTTTATTTTATTTGTATTTTTATCTTCTTTTCAGAATTATCAGTCAAACCCCCCATATCTGTTAGTTTAGTTTTAGATTTTAATTAGTTTTTATTCAATAAAAGTGACAAAGCAAATTGATTTTCGTAGCTTAAAAAGTATCTTTCCTCGTGGGATCGACCCTTACTTTCCCTATCTATATGTTTTGATGAATATTAATTCATAAAGGGGGTTAAAAGTTAAGGAAAATAATTAATTAATTTGTAGGTGCTACGACACGCCTAACACCTACCTCGAGGCAATCAGTTGTCCCGAGGCTGAGGAATGGCGTCAAGCCATGCAGTCCAAAATGGATTCCATGTACACCAACCAAGTATGGACTTTGGTTGATGCACCCGAAGGGATCAAACCCATTGGGTGCAAATAGGTCTTCAAAAAGAAGACTGACATGGATGGTAAGGTACAAACCTTCAAGGCACGATTGGTAGCAAAAGGATATCGTCAAATACATGGTATCAACTATGACGAAACTTTTTCTCCAATTGTCATGATTAAATCCATTCGGATCTTACTTGCTATCGCAGCATACCACGATTACGAAATCTGGCAGATGGACGTCAAAACGGCTTTCCTTAATGGAAACCTCCTTGAGGATGTCTTTATGACACAACCTGAAGGGTTTTGCGCTCCTGAAGAATCTACTAAGGTATGCAAGTTGCAGCGATCAATCTACGGATTGAAGCAAGCCTCACGGAGTTGGAACATCCACTTTCACGAAATCATCATCGAATTTGGTTTTGAAAGAAATTCGGATGAATCTTGTGTATACAAAAAGGTCAGTGGGAGTGCTGTAGTCTTCCTTGCTCTGTATGTTGATACTGCTCATAGGAAACGATATTTCTACTTTAACCACCGTCAAAACGTGGTTGAGTAAGAGTTTCTCTATGAAGGACTTGGGAGATGCTAGTTATGCACTTGGCATAAGGATCTATAGGGATAGATCACGGAAGCTGTTAGATCTCAATCAAAGTACATACATAGACAAGGTCCTTGCTAGATTCAGCATGTATGAATCGAAACGAGGAAGTTTGCCTATGGTCCAAGGCACGAGTCTTTTTAAGACTCAGGGTGCTTCCACTCCAGAGGAAGTAGAACACATGAGAAATGTTCCTTATGTGTCGGCCATTGGATCCATCATGTATAAGATGGTATGTACGAGACCTGATGTCGCCTTTGCTCTGAGTGTCACGAGTAGATACCAGTCCAACCGTGGCGAAAGCCATTGGACGGCTGTGAAGAACATCCTTAAGTACTTTCGTAGGACTAAGGATGCCTTCCTGGTATATGGCGGAAAAGAAGAGCTCAGTATTGTTGGATATACTGATGACAGCTTCCAGACTGATAGAGATGGCTTCAAGTCGCAGGCAGGGTATGTGTTTTGTTTGAATGGCGGAGCTGTTACCTGGAAGAGTTATAAATAAGATACTACCGCTGATTCCACTACAGAAGCAGAGTACATGGCTGCAGCCGAGGCAGCCAAGGAAGGTGTGTGGCTCAAGAATTTTATTATTATTACTGAGCTTGGAGTGGTTCCTAGCATCAAGAACCCTATACCGTTGTTTTGCGACAACAATGGGGAAATTGCACAAGCGAAAGAACCTAGGTCTCACCAGAAGACCAAACACATCGTTAGACGTTATCACATCATACGAGAAATCATTGCACGTGGGGACGTTGAGATTTGCAAGATAGGTACAGACGACAATATCGCGGATCGGTTGACGAAGGCTTTGGGAAAGCCTAAACACGAGAGTCATACGTGGTCCATGGGCATTTAAGAAATGCTTGATTGGCCTTAGGGAGAGTGGGAGATTGTTGTATTTAGCTAGCGGTAATCAAATACCTATGTAAACACTTTATCATGAATGAAAGGCTCTGAAGTATGTTTTATATCTCGTGTAACATAACATAGCTTCAGTCCATAGACGATAGCGCTTCAGTAACATAGATGAGGACTACGATGTTCTGATTATGAGACTTTTACTTCTTGACAAAGGCTATGTCTAGAATATCCCTAGTCGCACTTTATGATAATACGGACGTCATAACGTATCAAGACTAGTACGTATGAGATGAGATAGTTGCGTCTCATAGACTATAGGTATTGTGATATCTTAATCTGTACGTAGGTGCATATTATATCGATAATATGTGACTGGATTGACCCATCTTGATAATATGGATCTACAGTAATGTGTTTATCAGTGTTCTCAATTCGACCTTGCTATAACTATCCTCAGACTTGAAGTTATTACATTCTCTGATATGTGGGGTCGTATGCTTTGATTCGTAACTAATGCTATCTGAAATACTGGTAGACGTACAGTTATGCATTGGGTATGCCGCTAAGCATATTTGGAGATGTGAATAACAGACACATGATCTGTCCTTTCTACTGTATAGAAGTATAATGTCAATGGGCCCACTGAATAGTAGGACTTGGGAAAGTGCATGGCCATGCCCAGATATGTCTCTATCCAGAGACTGATAAATATCTGATCCCTACCAGTCTACTTGAGATTCAGTAACAACTGATTTAACTATACAAGGATACACATCCCATGCCTTGTGTTAAATCATGACATTTAGGACAGAAGGATAATAGTTATAGAACGTCTTGTGTCGTAGAAGGTATTGATGAGATGAACGTCTTTTTCATAATCTGGGGGTAATAATGTGTTGCTAGATACCGCTTATTATCTATGGTATTAATTTATATTAATATCATTGCCAGTATTTTGGATACCTAAAGGGTCACACACTTAGAACTTGTAAGGGAGTAGTATACTACACTAGTGGTAGTAATATTAAATATATAGTTGTGATAATTATATATATATATATATATATATATATATATATATATATTATTTTATTTTTCATCATTTTAATTATATGATAATTATTGATGTCAAAATAAAATATAATGTACTTTAATATGAGATGGCCGAAGATTTTAGGAGAAAAAATCCAAGACCATTTGAGTTTTTACATAATGTATTTTTTAATGTCAAATTGAGATATTTGATTATTATTTGATGTAGGGATTCTATTTTGTTTTGTTATGGTAGTTAGAGACATTGCATTTTGATTAATTCATTATCACAATCTAATGTCTCAAGGAAGCTTCATGGCATCTTACATTAATGAATGTATTATAAAATGAAATAAATCCCACCCCATTTGAAGAAGTGAGTTTCGGCCATCAATTTCAAGAGAGAAGAAAATTCCTATTTTTGTGTTCAAAGTAATTTTCTAAAGTGTTAGAAATATACACAAAGTATTATAAAAATATTTATAAGATAAATATTTTACTATATATTTATTACTCCCAAAGTAGTATTATTATAGTTTTTACTATCCTATATTAAACTTGCTAGCACAAGTTTAATCTAGGACTCCGGAGCAAGTTCGTGTGGATACGTTGGAGGCTTCATACGTTTGGCGCTACGTTCATCTCCTCAAAACCATCCTCGACCGTTTCTCCGTTCTCCGTTTTTCACCGCTAAGGTAAATTTATTACTATAGCTAGTAATTTACGTAAGTTGTTCTTGGGTGGAATCGAGTTTTGGACTCTAAATTTTTGTTTTCCGTTGCATCATCCAAGCCTCGTTTCCCAACACAATGCCCAAAGTAAATACCGGCTGTTCAAACTGGCCTGTTTTTTATTTGGCAACAACCCTTCAATACACCCTCCTCAAAGTAAAAAAGGTCACCACTGTTGTTGAACAAACATGGGACTCTAAGAAATCCTTCTCCAAAGAGGAGGTGGAGGAGACTCCAACATAAGCCTAAGGCGTGCACGGAGCTGAAGGGGCTTCGAATGTTCCAACTTCTGAGACAGGTGGGGTTCTAGAAACCCCCGGGATCTCCCTTTCTTTGGTCCAAACTCCCCCTTGGTTTCTGCTCCCAAGGCAAAAGGTTTTTTTCTAAATAAAGCTTCTAAAACCCAAAAGTGGAAGCACTTCAATCCCGCCGCCCTTCTGTAATAGAAAAAAAAGGTTGGGGGATCTAGAGACAAGTCCATTTTGGATTCCCAGTCAACACCAACTTCTATCTCTCTAGGTTCAAAAAACAATTTGGAGCATTTTAGCCGGGTCCGCTTCTCTAAGAGACAAGTGATCATGTCAGATGAAATGAGCTCTCCTGATCGTGCCCCTACTAATGATGCTCAATCCAAGGGCCCTGCCAATCCTACAAGTGCTCCATCCCATTAAGTAACATGGGTGTCTGGAACTGACCATGGGCAGCAGGGTGAGGAAGCCTTTGTCATTCACCCTTCATTGAATACTCCCGATCGGACCGACCATCCCAGGTTCATCCCTTCTAGCTCTAGGGTGGCAAACGATGGTCCATCCCTGTGTCCTTCTTAGCATCCTAAACCCCAGGGTATTGGGGACATCTAGTTTTAGGATAATTTCACTCCAAACATATTGTCCGATGTTTTGGAAATGAGGGATCATTCGGTCCCTCTCACGGTTCTGATACACAATGGGCCAACCTCATCTTCCGGGGCTCTGCTCCATCCAATAACCATGCATAGGTTTACGCCTGAGACTTTAGCTCAGTTTGGATGGAGTGGGGACTCAATCCACATCGGTCTTTCTTCAAAAAATAAGCCTATGTGGAGGATCGACAAGATTAGGAAGTTAGCTCAAGGTTCTGTCCCTGCTGACATCTTTGATTGCCTCGACATGGTTGCCCTATGCGCCCTAAGCTTCATGGAGCAAGTAACTTTCCTTTACCATATTCCAGCCAGAGATTTGCCTTTCTTTACTATATAACTCTTTTTTCATTCTTTTTGCCCATGCAGACCCATGCTCCTATTCTCAGACTTGCAGAGGAGTACATGGGTACCTCTTACTGGAACTCCCAGGTCTCGTCTTAATAGGGAAAAAGAAGGAACCATTCAAGCCCAAGGGGAACGACTTCAAGAAGCTCGTATCGAACTCCAAGTAGTCCAAGATTGCAACAGCGACAAATAACTCCAGGAAGAAGTTGATCATTTATGTGAGTTGAATCACTAGTTGAACTTGGACAGGAAGAACTAGAAGTATGAGAGTGAAGGAAATAAGGAGATTGAAAGGTTGCAGGGTCTGGAAGAATCATCTCAACAGTTGCTTCAACATTCTAAGCGCGCATATGCTGCAAATTAAGTACTAAAGGCCAAGGAGTCCTAGGTGAAAACTATGGAAAGCCAGATCTCCACTCTCAGTCAAAAAACAAAGAGCTTAGGGGTTGATTTTAAAAAAAGCAACTCTGCTATCACCAACTTGGAGTCAGAGAATTGTTGAAACACGGGTTTATCGCGTTCTCGTACTAAAGCCGTGTTCGTTTTTATGACAGGTTTTGATAATGCCAAACCGCCGTGAACGAGACAAGTCATTGAATAAACAAGGCGAGAACCAAAGATGAGAAGAAAGAGAGCAAGAGCTAAAAGAGACCGAGAACGAAGACCGTAGTCTTTAGTATCGTTGAGTCAGTCATAATTGTGATCTAGACCGACCCAGCCTTCACGCCTTGGCTCTTTAGGCTAAAATCTTTTATTACATTTCTCGTATCATAAAAATGTTTTTCAAACATGTTTAAAACATTAAAAACACTTGGTGTTCGCCCAAACCAAAACATTAAAAACACTTGGTGTTCGCCCAAACCAAAAACCAATCCATCCGGCATTCGACTTTCCGAAACCGGCATTCGGCTTTCAGAAACCAGCGTTCGGCATTTGGTTATCGGCGTTGGTTTTTGGGATCCGAACCAACCAAGTGGTTTTAAACATTTTATGATTGGTTTTCACTTCTTGGCATGTTTAAACAATTCTCCAACAAAAACACTTTGAAAACCACCTTTCGTTTTTGGTCGTTTGGCAAAAACCACGCAAAATGGCATAAACTTGACTAGCCATGGTTTTTACTCAAATGACGTGGTTTTTAAAGTGTCTCACTTGATTTCTTAGCGAAATACATCAAATAAGTGTTTTAAACACTTGGTTTTAATTTTGGAGAACTTTGGATTTTTCGGTCGGTTTTTGCATCGGTTGGCTAGGTCATGGTTTAGGAAAAAACCATGGGTTTTTTACTAACCATCCACCCTGCGATGAGAAGAGTTACCCATCGATGGGTAAGCAGACCTTCAGCCCAACCGAGTTCCGGAACCATGCCAAACAACGATGGGAAGTTCTATCTATCGTTATTAAAGCTTTTGTCCAACATTAACACAAGGCAGAATGACCTTACCCAGCGATGGGGTTTTTAACCCATCGATGCGAACCCAGCGATGGGAGGACATACACATCGCTGGTTAAGCATGACCGTTGTAAGTCATTTAAGGTTGATTCTTTCCTTGTTTGGAAGTCAACCTCCCACCCAACGATGGGAAACATGTACCCATCGATGGGTAGGTGACCGTTGTCTTCAAAACTGAAGGAAAATTAGCTTACCAGCGATGGGTAAGTCCATACATCGCTGGGAAAGCCAATATCTTGCAGATCCATATTTTAATTGTAACACCTTAATCTGTCCAGGTCTGCAGCCCCTTTTGGACTAAAGTATTTAAATTGATAATCGTAAAAATTTAAAACTTTTCAAAAACACTTTATTAATCCCAATAATATTTTTCATAACATATACAGTACGGAGTATTCAACAATATTGCGGAAGTGAATTTAATATTGACATATCATAATTCATCTCAAAATTTGTCACATCCATCCCGACAATCTCGCCCCATCACATTGTTCTTTTTGTTTACCTGCGTGTAGCAAATAAAACACACTACACGCTTAGCGGTAAAGCTGAGTAAACATATCTAATGCATTGAACATCCATATAAACTGAATCTAAATTCATAATCAAATCATTTGATATCATGCACACAATGTTCGT